AGAGCAGAGAGCGGGACCCTACCCAGAAAAGCAGTGATGCCGGAAATGGAGCCAAAGATGATGACGTGGAGCAATGGAGCAGCTGGAGACTTTAGATCCAGAGAGGGAGAGCGACTGTGTGCTGAAGACCTGGGGGGCACAGGGGAAGGATTGCATGGAGGGGATTGTAATCCTGACAATGAGACGATATACAATAGAATGAATGTAAAACCAATGTTCTCTATAACACCTAACAACAATAACAACAACAAATGGAGAAAAAAATTGAAATTGTAAAATAATTCTTTTTTTTTTTTAACTTGTCAAAGAATTTCATTTTAAAAAAGTCTAGAGTGCGTGAGAATTTGAAATTCTGTCTACATTTTACTCTTTCCTCTATGGAAACTGATTAAAATGTTTGTCATGTTAGCCAGGAACCATCCAGTTCTTACTGTCTCTAGGCAAAGGAAGCAGTTGTTCATGAAGTCAATTATCCACATGTTCCATTTCCTCTTCCTGATCTCGATTTTTGTTCTTTCTTTATTGCTCTAGGTTGTTGTTATTGTTGTTAAGTGCCATGGAGTGGATTCCATCAGTGTTTTGGATAGCTGCTTGCAAGTTTTTGAGATCCTGTCCCCTCCCACTCTTGTCAACATTTGCTATTTTCCCTTTGTTTGTTTTAGCCATGCTAATGGGAGTTAAATGCTACCTCATTGTTATTTTTATTTTCTTCTGTCTGGTGGCTAATGATGCAGAACATCTTTTCTTGTGTTTGGGGACCATTTGAATGTTAATTCTTGGTGAAATGCCCATTTTATGATTGGGTTATTTGTCTTTTTTCTGTTGTCCATGATTTAGGTATGTGTTACTTTATGTTTAGTGGCTTTTGCTCAGCCGTATGACTGTTTAATAGAAGTTTCTTCTTTGTTGTTGTTGTATACTATTTCTTTAAATGAATATTCTACATTTTTCTGACTTAATGGCCCTTAACAACAACAGTCATGATAGTTTTGGTATGGCACTGTAGGATAAGCACTGGACTGAAAGGTAGGTTTGAACTGCAAGGTCAGTGGTTCAAATCCATCAGCCACTCCTCAGAAACCTATACAGGATCTCTCTGAGTCAGAAGTGACTCCACAGCACTAAACAACAATTCATGATACACATTTTGTAGGTTGCTTCCAGTTTTAAAATATTAAGTTGGTCTGAACATTTGTGCATGGGCAAAAGCTCTCATTTCTATTTGGTGTGAACACAGGGGTAAAATTGTAAGTTCAGTGGGTAAAATTTACATGTTGTTGTTGTTAAATGCTGTAGAGTTGGTTCCAACCCATAGTGACCCTGCATGTGGTTTCCGAGGCTATAAATCTTTACAGGAGCAGAAAGCCTCATCTTTCTCCTGCAGAACCGCTGATAGTTTTGAACCACTGACCTTGAGGTTAGTAGCCCAACTTGTAACCACTATGCTACCAGAGCTCCTTAAAATTTACATAGCATTAGTAAATACTGGCAAATAATAATTGAATATATTTTCTTTTATTCTTATCCTTTGTTTCTGCAAATGCTATACTTGGTACTGTTCCTCTTTTATAGTAAACCCCTTATAAAATTAGTTGCTCTTGCACTGTGGATTAGGCATTGAGTTGCTAACCACAAGGTCGGTGCCTTAAACCCACTAACCACTCCTTGGGAGAAATATGAGGCTCTTGTAAAGATTTATAGTCGAGAAACCCTGTATAAGTTTGAAGCAACTATGCAGTGGCTTTATTGAAATGTGGAAATTTTGGTTAATATCAGTCTAATCAACATAAGTTTTGAATGTTATCATTTGTAATAATGTTTTCTGTGTCTTTATATAGATTATTGACCCCTTTGTTGAAGTTGAAATTATTGGACTACCTGTAGATTGTTGTAAAGATCAAACCCGTGTGGTGGATGACAATGGTAAGATGATAATCTGTGTTCACTTTTCATTAGGATTCTCTAGAAATAGGGTTTTCATAGAAAAATATCTATATAGCAAAGAAATGAATGACTAAAATTTATAACTGCAATCCAAATTGTGCCAAAGCCTCTTTTTTTTAGTATGGGCATCTTTTCTTAAGTACAATAATGGTCTTATACAATATTTGTCCTTTTGTGACTGATTAATTTAACTCAACATAATGTCCTCAAGGTTCATCCATGTTATGTGGTGGCTTGCAGCTTCCTTGTTATACTTCAAGGTAGCATAGTATTCCATTGTGTGTATGTACCAAAGTTTGTTTATCTATTCTTCCATTGATGGGCACTTTGGTTGTCTCCATCTTTTTGCTATTATAAATAGTGCTGCTTTGAACATTGGTATGCATGTATCTACTCGCGTTATGGCTTGTATTGCTTGTGGATAAATACCAAGTACAGGAATTGCTGGATCATATGATAATTTCTATTTGCAACTTTCTGAGGAAACACCATACTGTTTTCCAGAGTGGTTGGACCATTTTGCATTCACACCAGCAATGTAGGAGGGTCCCAGTCTCTTCACATCCTCGCCAGCAAGTATTATCCTCTACATTTTTGAACTTCGCTGTTATTGCTGGTGTGAGATGATATCTCATTGTTGTTTTGATTTGCATCTCTGTATGGCTAATGATTTTGAACATTTCTTCATATGTTTGTTGGCTGCCCGAATTTCTTCTTTGGAAGAAAATGTCTGTTCATGTCCTTTGCCCATTTTTAAATTGAGTTATTTGTCTTTTTCTTGTAGAGATGTTGTAGTTTCCGATATATTTTAGAAATTAGTCCCTTGTCTTATGTGTCATTGCAAAATATTGTTTCCCAATCTGTGGACTCCGTTTTTACTCTTCTGGTGAAATCCTTTGATACACATAAGTTTTTAATTTTTAGAACATCCCAATCATCTATTTTGTCTTCTTTTGTTTGTGTAATTTTCACAATGTTTCATAATCTGTGTGTGCCCAGGATTAGAGCCCTCACATTTTCCACTATTTTTTCATTGACAACTTTTATAATTCTGGGATTCACACTTAGGTCTTTAATCCATGCTGAGTTGGTCTTTGTAAATGGCTTGATGTAAAGTTAAAAGGTCTTGTTTCAGTCTTCTACATATTGCTTTCCAGTTCTGCCAGCACCATCTGCTGAAAAGACTGTCTTCCTCACTCAATGGACTTTGGCCCTTTGTCAAAGATCAGTCGACTGTATGTGAATGGGTTAATTTCTGGATTCTCAATTGTGTTCCATTGATCTATGTATCTTTCATTGTACTTGTACCAGGCTCTTTTGATCACATGTAATACATTTTGAAATCAGGGAGTAAGAGGCCTCCAACTTTGTTCTTCTTAAGCAGTCCTGGGTCTCTTTACTCATCCTGGGTCTCTTTCCTTTCCGTAAAAGTCTGTAATTGTTTTTACATCTCTAAAGAATGTTGTTGGGAAATTTAAAGAGACAGTTTCCAATTAAAACCAAATGGCCACAGCCGGCCCTGAACTGTTTTCCAACTAGAAAAAAGGCCTGAATGGGAATTGTGGAGCGGGACAAACAGACAAAAGAGGAAATAGGCCGAAAATTAAATCCTAAGTTACGTCAAAATGACCAACAGTGGTATCTTGAAACTTCTCAGGAAGAAGAGTGAAAAGGAAAGCCCATTTCCTGATCACATCTCCTTGGAGGCATTCAGAAAGCATAAAAAATACCAAAATACACACCCATCGTAGTATTAAGGCCACAGATAACCCCT